TTAGCTTCTGTAAGCTTTAGAAATTTTTTAAAGAAATTATTGATGAATTTGGAGCTACGGGTACTAATGTTTTTATATTGTTGTAATGTTTGTATTCATTCCCTGTTAGTTTCTGTAAGTCAAAATTTTAAGGTGTTTCCATAATAAATTCTGTTATATCTGAAATTTAGTGTTAATCTGAATAATTTAATTTCTAAAATCTGTTTTGCATTGCCTGTCTTATAACATCTTTACTTGGAACAAAAACCATGTGCTTTAAAAGTGAGCTAGAAGCTTTCAACAATGAAGAAAATATTGCATTCACTAATCCTAAAAATATATTAAACCTGTCAGCAAAATCAGCTGTCAATAATCCAAGTATTAGCATCATTTAAAATTCATCTTTGCTGCATTACATTTATTTTGGTCCAAGTAGTTAAGGATTTTTTTAAATTTCAAAAAACAGAAGTAAATGTTTTTTTAATATCACTTTATCTCTTTTGATTAATGGTGATACTGCACTAACTGATGAAACACATTGACAGATGTAAGGCCAGTATAAAAGTCGCAAGATCTATTATTTTTAAAATAAATGTTTTTATACAAGTAAATTGCAATAACACGATTTTTTTGGATTATGTTTATATACAAGTTTGTCTGTTTTCATAGTAATAACTGATGTGGTTGAAGTTAATTTTTCAAATAAATCTTTATTTTTTTATTTCGTGCTGAAGTTCTTTTTTAAAGTTATCAGTTTACTTTTTTAATTCTAGATGCTCTATTAAAAAACAACGCTTAGCATTAAATTCAACATAATTTAATGGATCATTTTTTGAAAAAGCTGTATTATATTTACATTTAATAATATCAGTCTTTGAGCATTGTAGCCCAAGTTAAACAAAAAATATCGATTTTTAAACGATAATGTTCTTTCAGGAAAATCGTCTGAACATGTTTTCGATCTCTTGAAAATTCTATATGATATAAGTTCAGTATTTACATTTTTTTTCCATTGTAAATCTCTATAGCTTTAATCGTTGAAATAATGTTTACGATTTTACTTTTTTAAATTTTATATCGTATTTTTTGTCAACAATGATTAAAATAATGACGTTGAAATAACGTTAAATAATCAACGTTTAAACTGTAACGTTGATTTAACGTTGAAATAACGTTAAATAAGCAACGTTTAAACGGTAACGTTGATTTAACGTTGTGACATAGTTGAACAACGTTGAAACAACGCTTCAACCGAATTTCAACGTTGAAACAACGTAATAATGCCGGCTGGGTTCTTTATAAGATAAATTAAAGTATTTCTGATTCGACAGCTTCCTATTTTGCAGAGTTATACAGATTCTATATCAAAGAAACAATGCCAAACACTGGCAAACATTTTTCTAAAGAACTTTGCATTACTTCACACTCCAAAAATTAATAAAAAAACTTAACTCAAAGAAATTAAACATTTTTTTTTTTCATATTGAGTGCAAAAATTTTTTTTTTTTTTTTTTACATTATTTATATTTTACATTTTTACATTATACTTATTTTTTCTCTTAAATTGAAAATCTCAATTAAAAATGATTTTTTTAACTTTACGAGCATTTTAAGAGTTATCAAAAAGTTAATTAACCTCAATAAATTGAACTTTTTTATGCAGACTGTAAATTATTATTATGTGCGATCTAGCATATGTGCAAAACAGTTGCACATATGCTGCGAATAAGCGAATCGGCGTAAGCGCGAATATAAGTGGTTTTTTTTTAAACCGGCCTTTATTCAAAAAAATTCCCCCACGGTGTCACAGCCTTCTTTAAAGAAGGTTTTTTGAAATTTCACTGTCTGTGTATTATAAAACGTTTAAAATAGAAACTTCGGTAATAAAACGCTTAAAATAGAAACCTTGTTGTTTATTTGATATTAAACTTTTAAAATGGAAACTTCGTTATTTCTTTATTATAAAACGTTTGAATTAGAAATTTCATTGCTTGTTTATTATAAAACGAGTAAAAGTAGTTAAAACATAATTAAAAGAAATAATTTTGTTATCTTTTCATATATATTGAAAATTATATTGAAAGTTTAAATATTTTAAAGTATATGGATTTGCTTGTTAAACCAAAAAAATATTTTTTCATTTTATGGGTTTGAAACATAACTTTTTTTAATAACTAATAATATAACAATTAATAATAATTCTTCTAAATTAATATACAATATACAGGTATATTATATATAAATAAATATAATATATAATATACAGACGGCAGATCAATAAATACTCCTAACAAAAATTTCAAAACCTTTTAAAATATAACGTTGATTGGGATCTTATAATGCAATCGGTAGAAGTAAATAATGCCTATAAACTATTTCTTAAATTTTTTGTGAGCAAAATGAAAAAGCTTTTCCGGAGAAATAAATTGTTATAAATACCAAGTCATATCAAGCTCCATGGATGTCTAAAGGCTTATTAAAATCTTCAAAGAAAAAAAAAAAGTTGTATGAAAAATTCTTAAAAAAAAAAACGTATAAAAATGAAACAAACTACAAACTTTATAAAAATTTATTTGAAAAAACTAAACAACAATCAAAAAAAATTTACTATTCAAAGTTGTTAAAAAAAACTAACGGAAATGCCAAAAGTACGTGGAGCGTAATTAAAGAAATTATTGGCAGAAAAAATAATGGAATAAGTATTCAACCAAAGAAACTCTTAGTAGATGGTAAAATTATATATGACAAGTCAATAGTAGCTGAAAATCTAAACAGCTTCTTTCTTAATATTGGTCCAAACTTAGCTGAAAAAATTCCTTCAGGCTCATCATCGTTTGATTCTTATTTAAAAATATATGATAAGGTCATGGACGAATCTAAACTAGATATTAATGAGTTACGATATGCTCTAGATAATCTTAAAAACAACACAAGTGTAGGTTTTGATAATATTAGCATAAATGTTGTTAAATCAGTTTTTCATATTATAGAAACTCCTTTATATCACATTTTTAATCTTTCTCTTCAATCTGGAACAGTTCCAGAAAAATGAAAAATTGCACGGGTCTTGCCTATTTTTAAGTCTGGCGATGACACAGATTCTTCAAATTATAGACCAATATCAGTTTTACCATGCTTTTCTAAGTTACTCGAGCGTATAATGTATAATAGGCTAAGCAGCTACTTAACAGTAAATAACATGTTGTACAACAAGCAATTTGGCTTTAAAAAAAATCATTCAACTGATCACGCTTTGACCGAGTTAGTAACTCATGTAACCAATGCCTTTAATGATGACCGTTTTACATTAGGAGTATTTATTGATCTGTCTAAAGCCTTTGACACAGTCAACCATGTCATTCTTTTAAAAAAACTTGAACATTATGGAATAAAAAACAATAATTTACTATGGTTTAAAGATTACTTATCAAACAGACAGCAATACATTCAATATGAAAATGTTAAAACGGCAAAAAGTATAATAAAATGTGGAGTTCCTCAACGGTCAATCTTAGGACCGTTACTGTTTTCTCTTTATATAAATGATCTATCTCTTACCTCGAACATACTAAACTTTATTTTGTTTGCTGATGACTCCAATCTGTTTTATTCTCATAGGGATATTAAAACCCTCTTTAAAGTAGTTAATGAAGAAGTAAACAAAGTAAATGAATGGTTTATTTGTAATAAACTTTCACTTAACGTTAACAAAACTAAATTTATTCTATTTCACAAACCAACCAAAACAGGAAACCTTCCTTTAAAATTACCCAATCTTAAAATCAATAATATAAATATTACTAGGCAAACAACTGTAAACTTTTTAGGTATTATTTTAGACGAAAATTTAACATGGAGGAAACATATAAACACTCTTGAAAGAAAACTTTCAATAAACATTGCAATGATGTATAAAGCAAAACCATTCTTGGATATAAGATCTCTAAAAAGTTTATATTTTTCCTTCATGCATAGCTATCTAACTTACGGCAATATCGTATGGGCAAGCAACAGCTACGCTAAGTTGAAGAAACTTTATACTAAACAAAAACATGCATGTAGAATTGTATTTGGAGTTAAAAGAACTGTGCCTTGTGAGCCACTTTTACGTAAACTCAATGCATTAAATGTGTTTAAAATTAACATATTCCTCGTCATACAGTTCATGTATCAAATAAAACATGGACTGTCTCCAGCGATATTCTATCCTTATTTTAGAGAAGTAGGCCATAAATACCCCACCAAGTTCTCAGAAAATAACTTTGTAACTCAAAAGTATAATCTAAAGTTATGTTCTTATTCAATTCAGTACAGGGGTCCAATTTTGTGGAAAAACTTTCAGCATATTGTTAATATTAAAGAAAAAACACTTCCGCAATTCAAATCTAAATTAAGACGTTATTTAGTACTTACGAATTTTAATATAGCAGATCTTCTATGTCACTTTTAAAGCTTTAAAATTTATTAAACTAAATTAGCAGCATAAATTTAAAAATCTAGACCATTTAACAGTACTAAGAATTTCAATGTCTTTATCATACTTTCATTGAATTTATATATTCTCTTAAAATTACCTTCAATTTTCTTGATATATTTTATAATATTGGAACAGAATTTTTATCTGAATTTTGAACTATTTTAAATGAAAATAATATATACAAATATATATGTCGAATCACATCCAGTTTATAACCAAAAACAGAAAATTTTTGTCATTTTTATTACTACATTTTAATCATTTCTTTTTATTTTTTTTTATTTATCTTAAATTATTTTAATACTTTTTTTTTTTTTTTTTTCTTTTTTTCTTTTTAACTTTGTTTCTTAACATTTTAAATTGTCTTTTTTTAAATACTTTTGCTTATATATTACGGATTATTGTGTATTACGGATATTTATTTGCGTTACTATTGGGGCTCGGTGATAAGGCTATTTTATGCCTTTTTCTTGCTCCAGCCAATTGTACTTTTTATATTGTTGTACTTTGTAAATATTTTTAACGGCGAAATAAACTAATAAAGTAAACTAATAACTTAAAATGTTAAAATAAAATATAATAATGCAATATGTAAATATGCTTTTTTATAAATTCACATATTGCCAAATTTAAGTTTGTAGTTCGTAATTAAATTTATGATGCATTTTTCGTGGAGAATAATTTTCGATAGACTCTCTTTGTTCAAAATCGTACTGTCCATAAAGTGTTTTGTGATGCCATTTTCTTCCAGCCCAAGTCAAAACTGGTTCATCTGTAGTATCATTTGAATCTGAAATAAACTGAAAATTATTTTTATGATGAGCAATGCTACGTATTTCTGTCCCCTTTTCACACATTTCCACACTCTCTTGTGGTTCAGCTTCAGGTAAATAAAATCTTTTGTGATGAGCTCGCGTTGTATAACTATTTTCATTTGAATCCTCGACATTCATTTCACTTACTGCTTTAACAGGTGGCTCACAGTAATTGTATTTATGGTGAGCAATTATTGGATTAACAGGAGCAAAATGATTAGATTGAGTTTCAAACATTGTGGATCGAGCACTTGTTAAGGATCTTATCGTTGGATTATCGTCTAAAAACTCTTGCATATGCGCACTGTACCTTAGTCTGCTAGAAAGGCTACCTCTTCGTGTAGAATGTGGTTTTGCTGCATTTTGAGTTATTCCGTTCGTTCCCTTTAAACCAGTACCATGCGGGAAAAATTGGAACATTCCCATTGTATTGGATCTAGTAATTAGTTGATCACTAGAGAGCATTTTTGGTTTGATAACACCATACTTTGTAACCCTAGGCGTTTTGACTTTTCGTTTACTTGACGCTGTAAGCATTCTAGATGCACTCTTAGTGTCCATATCTCTCTTTTGCTTTTGTGCAGTGAGAAAACTCAAGAACTTTCGTGCAATTGCAACATCTAAGACATCAAATAAAGTAACATTAAATGAGGAACAATAAATAGTATCAATAGCAATACATTAAGACCAATAAACTAAATAATAAATCAACAAACTTAAAGTTTTATCAAGATATTATTTTCAAAAATCACTATATTAATCAATATATGTGAATTAAATATATTAAAAATCAATTAACAAAATCAATATATTAAAAACAGCAAAAAATAAAATAATATTTGCTTAATAAATAAAAACAACAAATTGAATAAATAATAAGAGTATTAATTATTAAAAATAATAGCAAAAATAATCAAAATTGAATGAAAACTGTAAGTTAACTCTATTACTTAAAAAAATAATAAAGAAAATTAAAAAAGTAGAAAAAATTGTGTTATATAGTACCGTAGCCGGTTGCGTTTTTAAGCCAGTTTGTAATAATTGGTACAGCTTCTTTTCGAACGATCCCATCGCTACATTCATCACTGTAGTATTCTCTATCCCATTCTTCTAGTATTTGTAGTAAAATTACTTTTTCTAAATGTTTAAAAAAATTATAACATTTAAATATTTAAATAAACAATGACAACTTGTATAATTTTTTTATTAAAGTTTTTTTTTTTTTTATTATCTTTTTATATTAGAATTTGTTGATGAGAAATTTTTATTTTTTATATTTTTGCAATGAGCGCCGTTTTACTGCAATATTTTTTATATATGCTTATGAAATATTTCCGCGAACCTAAAAATATTTCACCCGACCTAAAAATACCTCCGCCGACCTAAAAATGTGATAAATCCTATGAATATTTTATTTGGAAGTCGCATTCGCTTTCAAAATAGTTTAAAAATATATAAGGTACAAATTTAATTAAAGGATAAAATTCAACATTTTTTCGATTAAGCATTTAATTTGGGTTTCAAAAGATACATCAGTTAATTTAAAAAAAGAAGATTTTGTGTAAAAATTTGGAAAGAGTATTGTTGATTAATAAGATGAATTGATTAAGGAAATTAGCAAAGAGTATTGTTGATTATCGAGAAATCAAGTTTTATCTTGTAATGTCAAAATAACTAAACAAAATTATATTATACAGATGGAACTAAAAAAATACAAATTATTTTTTTTTAATTGGCCTGTGAAGAAACACTGTGAAGAAAGTGTTGTCTCCATTAACACTAAATCTGTATCAAGACCATTGTGCCAGCATTGCCCCCCCCCCCTTCACTATATAACTTTTGTTCCTACGGGCCTGTCAAGACCATTTTGTATATATATATTTTTTATTTTTAATATTAAAAAAAAAACAAAGTAAGAATAACTTCACGAACTTTGTAACTTTTTATAATTATAATGACACTGTCACTAATTATAATGATAATGACACTGACACTAATTATAATAAAGTTTGAACAAAATTTTGCTTTTTTATAATAAATTTTATTATATAAATGTGTAATACAGTATGAAACAGAAACAATTTACAAAAAAGATACAGTATGATTAAATCAATTTATATGTAAATGTATATAAAGTTATTAGCTTTTTAGTAACTTTTTTTTTTTTTTTTTTTTTTTAATATCCACTTATTTAAGACTTGATAAGAAAAACAAAGATGATTAAATTACCGTTTGGTGGAACTTTATTTTCCATAAACAGTTTTGCATCTCTTTGTGAATTTTCCGACGATATGATTCGATTTATAATCTGAAATAATAAAAAATGATAATATATAATATATTATATCATAATATATAATATATTATAGTATATAGTATATTAATAACATTTATAACATTTATATTATTCTTATATTTAAAATAAAATTTTTCTAATTTAAATTTTATTTGGAAAAATAAAAATTCAAATTGAGAAAGTTTTGAATTATAAAAGTTGGGTTTTTTTAAATACTTAGATTAAAGCAACAAATAGAACTAAAACAAAACAAAAAAATAGTACCTCTTGGGCCTAAATACAAAATGTATTGTGTACTTTATGTATTTAGACAAAAATCAGTCAATTTATGTTTTTTAGAGCTTTTGTCAAATCATTTGCAAAGTTATGATATAGACTGTAGTTCTTAAAAAAGGTAATAAAATGCATTTGTAGGTTCAAATGTATTTTGCTACCTAACTTAAGGTTTTGCAGCATTGTTACAAGCATCAATGGGCTCTTGTTTAGAAACTTTTGCAATAATGTCCACATCTGATAACTTGTTAGCAAAACATAGAAATCTAACTTCTCGACCGTGATGTTAAAATCTGTATGAATATGCTTTACATTTTTTTCAGTTTTTCAGCCTCCTTAACATCTAAGCCAAAAAAAAATATTTTCGGTTTTCATTCTGCTTTTATTAGAAATCTTTTGAAACAATTTATTAAAATTTTGCCTGGAATAGAATTCTATGCGTTTTTGTTATATTTTTCTAATTTTGAAGAAATTGTATGCAATACCAGAAAATATATTGAAACATACATCATGCCCATGGCCTGCTATATTACACGGCCGTGTATTTTACATATAGAGGCTAATTCTAAGAGTATATATATATATATATATATATATATATATATATATATATATATATATATATATATATATATATATATATATATATATATATATATATATATATATATATATATATATATATATATATATATATATATATATATATATATATATTAATAGTGCACTGAAATGAAAATTTTGAATTCCGGACGAAAATCAGGCAAATCCGATCGTAACCGGATTTGCTTGATTTCCATCCGGAATTATATTTATGTAATTTGTATCTTTAAGATTGAAAGTGAAAGCCTGCACTTCAGAATCGTAGCTATATAATATATATTTATAATCTATAGTATACATACAACCTATTTCATTAATTTGATTCTTCTATTATTTAAATTTAGTATGTTGTTTTTATTTGTTTCTTATAATTTTATTTATTGAAAGTTTTAACCTGCATAATATTATAATTTATATTTATAATTATTTCTTTGCTTTCTATTTTTACATTAAGGTTATATATACTTTTTAATTATTTAAAATTTACGTAACATTTAAAATGAGATTATTTTCAGAGGCAGGTAATACTTTTGATGAAAAAAGCGCTAGTTTGTTGCCCAAAACTGGATAGCAACTCTTTTTGCACCACAATATTCCTAAACTTCTAGAAATCCTTACATAAATGATTATTGCAAAAAAAATTACATTACGTTTGTTAAGAAACTTGCATTTTTTTAAAAATAGGTTTACCTATAGTTCTTAATTGCCCTAGGACAATTAAAAACTATAGATTTTTTGATTTAATTTACACAGTTTGTGTCACGTGTCTTAAAGAAAAAGTAAAAACAAACTCCGACAGTAGGTAGTAGGTAGACTAAAATTTTCTTGTATTTACTAGAAAAAAACTTCCCCAAACTTCACAAAATCTTAAACAGAAACACGGTAAAGGTAAGCCACATTTGCACTGAAAATATAGAAAAAATTATAAAAAACCACAACAAAAAAATTATCTTCCCAAGAATTGAAAATAATGAACAAAATGCAATGCAATTGTCAAAACAAAGCAGAATAGAGGCTCCCTGATTGAGAGCCCCCTGATTGGTAAGTGCAAATCCACAAACATTAGATTTTAATGCATCACCTCAGCAAAAAAGCAACCCAACAAAGTTTATATCGGACTTACGGAAGGTGTGTTGAAAACCAGATACAACAACGACAAATTATCATTCAGTAATGCATTATACCAAAAGTCTACCGCCCTTTTTATATTTATAATATTATTAACCTAACTACTAATCAACTTCCGTCTCGTAACGATCCAAAATATAAATATAAACCGTCACAATCTAAAATTTTCAATTTGAAAAACATCTCATTTTTGTTGTTTTTTACAATTTATTTAGTTTGATCCTTTTACACATTTCCCATTGGTTCTTAAATCAATAAAATAAATCATTGTTTATGTGTAGCTTTACAATACAAAGGAAATAATGTCCCAATTAATCCATGGTTAACTAAAGGTCATATAGTAAATTAACTAGTTTGAGTATGCTAAAAAATTTTGCATCGTACAAAATTGTGATAGCTTCTTCTAACAAAAATACATTTCTAAATGAAAAAAATAGAAGAATATATTATAAAGCAAAAGGTCGAACACAGTATTCTGCAGATATGATTAGGTATGACAATATACGTCTTCTTCTTGTTCCGGCCATTTATTATACGTGTAAGATCTTTTTTATTGTAAATTTTTTTAAACGGCAAAGGAAATAAATAAATAAAATAAATATGATTTATTGTTAAGATATACATCTAAACAAGCATATGAAATTTTACTTGAATCGTTTCCATTACCTTCAATTTTTTTATTAAACAAAACAAGGTGGATCAATACACGAAGATATAATAGAATTTTATAGAATATAAATTTTATTTTATTTTTTTGTAGAATTTTATTGGGGAGATTTTTATCTTCTACATTCTAAAGATAAACAACTTAAAAGTAATTTTAAAAATAGTCCTAAAATTATATATCGTGTTTACCCTGGTAATAAAAAGCAAAATGTTCTTTTGCACTTTTTTCGATGAAACAACAATTGCAAGTTTTGAAAGTTATTTTCTTGAACTTTTGAAGTATTTTTTTAAAAGGGTGGACTATTTCAAATTCATAGCAACGATTTAGTCCTAATAAACTTGGTAGTGAAATTATTTTTGATAATGCTAAAACCACTTTTTTAAGGCATCTAGCTGATTAGATTGAGCTTTGGCAGAAATCTCAACTTTTTAGTTTATCAAAAAAAAAATGTCATTTGCTCTTATCACAACTACAGAAGTAGTTGCAACAACAGTTGCTGGTTATATAACAAAGAAATTGATAAAAAAAAAGAAGTAAATGCAACGATTGCAAGTTGTTGCATTTACTTTTTGTTAACTACAGATTAAAACATTATAAATATTTGTCTGTATCTACAGATACTTTTACGTGGTAGCCTTACTGCACCTTCATTTTCACTTAAGGATTTCACATGTGGATGTTTATCAGTCTTGGATAATTCAAATTTAATAACTAAACAAGGTGCTAATGTCAAAGTTGTATTAAGCTTTGTTTTATCAGAATACTTTCCAAAAGTTTGCTTTACCTGCAATTTACGCAAAAGAAATTTAAATTTGCTTCTAAAATTATAGTTAAAGTCTTTTTTTAACAATAAGCAGAAGATAATTAATATACTGTACAAAAAAGATGCTGTTAAAAGTTTTAAAAATAGACAAAAAAAAGAACTTTAACAGATAATAACATAAAAATAGTAATTAAAAAATACATAAAACAACACAAGTTTAAATCTTTTTTTTTTGTTAATTCCCAGTGTTGTCAATTTAAATATGAAATGTAAAAATACAAATTTTGCATTACTACTCGTAATATTATATTTATACTATCTATTTATTCCAAACGAGATGTAATAACAGTCTAGTTGAGATATAATTATATGAAATATAACATAATGTCATTTTTTTTTTATAAATAGGTCTCTTAGAATCCACCTCTAAAATGTAACATGGCATGTAATATAGAAGTTCATGCCATGCCTAGAGAAATAATAATAATTGCTTTAGAAATAGCATTAATCATATACAAGCTTATAAAAAAAATTTATAACAACAATTTGCTTTAACGTCTTTCTAAATCATTTCTATAATGAAAAACTTAAAATCTTTTTGAGAACTTATCAGTGGTCAGACACATACTTCGACATTAATAAACTGATTTAAAGGGCATATCACCAGAACAAGTTGTTAATGGTTTCATAACAGAAGACTTGCATCCATTTCAAAAATATATACTTTGAGATGAATACTTTTTATAAGTTGAATAAAAAGAAAAGCAAGACGAACAAAACAAGAGACAACTCTGCTCTGGATATGCAACAGCAAACTGAGTATCAACTCTGGATCAACTCTGGATCAACTGGATCCGAACATATCCGTCAGTTTAGTTCACCAGGAAAATGTCATACCAGTTCCAAAGTTAGTAAAGGAAAGGGATAAGCAAAAATATTAACTTTAACGCCCAACAAAGACAAAGCAAAAAGTTCAAGTTAAAGTTAATGTTAAATCTGAGAGATAATTCTGGTCCAAGTAAAAGTCTATCCATGCAGGCCAAGAAAACTCAAAAAATGCCTCAACAATTGCAAGTTATACTTTTCCCTCCCTCTTGTCAACAATTATCAAAAACTTTTAGACTCCTCCCTCTTCTTCTTATTTTGGCGGAAAGACGAATCTGAAATCTTAGAAAGAAGGATGAATCTGAAATCTTAGCAATGTCAAACAAAATTTGATTTTCCCCCAGTATCATATATATATGGCAATATGTTATTTTTCAATATAAAGTTCTATTAAATGATTGCAAAAAATTTCCAAAAAAACATCAGATCAAAAAAACAACCAGCTTTTTTTTTTAAAAACGCTTTTATTATAATTTGAAAACTTTTAATATATTCACTATTACGCAGAATAAAATATCTCAAGTTCTAAAGGTGAAATTACAATGAAATTTTTAGGGTACATTTTTTATATTCATAGGAGTTGTACTAAAATTTGTTTTCTATATAAATCAGTTCATGTAATATTGTACATGTATGTACTTTTTACATGTATGGCATAATAGTAAAATAATCTTAAACACAATCAGTGGTTGTATTATGTTACAAATTAAAATTTATCTTTTTAGGTGTATTCAAAACTTTTTTAAAAGTATTAATATTACAGGATGTAAATAAAAATTACATTCAATATTAGTAAATAATTGTTTTTATATATTGATTATTTCAAAATAAATTACATAATTAGGGATGATGGTGACATGTGACATACATGACACACTACTACGGTAATAATAAAATTATCAAGATTGATAATTACACCAACGATAATAATAAAGTTTTATCATACAACCTGTCATGTATTAAACAACTCCTGAACCTGTCATGTATTAAACAACTCCTGAACCTGTCATGTATTAAACAACTCCTGAACCTGTCATGTATTAAACAACTCCTGAACCTGTCATGTATTAAACAACTCCTGAACCTGTCATGTATTAAACAACTCCTGAACCTGTCATGTATTAAACAACTCCTGAACCTGTCATGTATTAAACAACTCCTGAACCTGTCATGTATTAAACAACTCCTGAACCTGTCATGTATTAAACAACTCCTGAACCTCTCGTGAATTAAACAATTCCTGAACCTGTCATGTATTAAACAACTCCTGAACCTGTCATGTATTAAACAACTCCTGAACCTCTCGTAAATTAAACAATTAAAAATGAAATTATTAAAAAGATTACAAAGTATAAATTTAAAAAAGTCTTAACCAACATGAAATGAAGTAAAAAAACCGGCTGCCGGCTGTTTTCAAAATTAGAACAACTAATGCTTTAATTCTTTCACTTTCTTTTTCTTCTCTCTTCCCCATTTTTCTTCTCTTACATTTTAGGGAGTGAGAGAGAAAAAAGAGCTTGTTAATAGTAAAAAAAAAAAAGAAGATATTTAGATACATTAAAAAAATATTTGTGATTAGAAGTCGAATTGATTTAAAGACAAAAAAAAATAACCTACATTTTTATCTTTAGAACTGTTTTCCAAAAATAATTCTATTTCATCCATAGTTTTTTAAAATTAACTTTTCACTCAAGGCTCTTTCAAATAAAGCTCTCTTTCTTTTCAAAAGATATTTTTTTTCTTGAAACTATGGTTATTTTTATGATGTTATAAATGGAAATTTTGTTAATAATTAATATTTCTCTGATGCAAGTGTTTTTCTTAATTTTTTTAGCATAATATTTATTTTTTTAAATGTATAAATCACTATTATATCATTATTGGTTTTTTATTTTATTATTAATATTGTTATTATATATTAGTGCGTAAGTATATATATATGTATATATATATATATATATATATATATATATATATATATATATATATATATATATATATATATATATATATATATATATATATATATATATATATATATACACTGACCTAACAACAGATAAACATTTAAAAATAGAATAAAGTCCAAACAAATAATCAATTATTTAACGTTTGAAACATATATTAATAATGTATAATGTTTTGCGGCAACCTAGCACGGATTTGTTGTTGGCATGGACACTTTATCTAATTCAAAATCAAAGTCATCGTATTTAAATAAACCAATATATATTTTAAATTAAACCAACATAAGATACTAAATAATATAAGTAATACGGCTCTTTGATTTACTTTTAGAAGTCTATCAATCAATACCTTAATTTTTATGTCATAGTAATATGTTGCAATGGATACGTCATAAATTATTTCTTTATTATTGGTAGTTGAATTTTTAATTCTTAATAACTCAATTTTGATCATATCTGGCATATTAGTTCTAATATATAGTACTATATATTATAAAAATATGTTACTATATAATGCTAACTCGAATATCAAGAATAATGTATAATTTTGAAAAAAAAAATAAACTCAGAAAAATCTATATTAATATAGAATCATCCTATCTATAAGCGAAAGTTTCAATCAAGAGAAAATTGTTTTAAAACTCTAAATACGCTTAAGTTATTTGATTGTTTTATCAAAATCATTTGATTCAGCACTTAAAATTTTAGTTTTTGTTTTAACTAAAAATGGTGACGTTTGTTCGCAAAAGGGTGAAAAAATTAAGTTTGGAAATTTCCTTTAACTACAGTTAAAGAAATTTGATAAAATAGCTTGTTGAACGGTTCATATAAAATTTTTAGTTTCAAGATAAAAAATTGAGTTTATAAATTTAGAATTGGATTGTTTAGATAAAATGAAAAAAGAACTGTTTATAACTTATTTCAATTTTTTGTTAAAAAATCTCCGGAAGCGTTTTGCTCACAAGATACAATTTCAGTTACAGCTGACCTTGCTAGTGTTGACTAAATTAAAATTTTAGCGAAACGAATTTTGAAACAACCGTATACTGTTTTGAGTCAATAAATTAAAGAGAACATTCTTATTTAGTTTTATTATGTAAAATGTTTTCAGCAAAAGTATCAGCATAAATTGTTTTTTCAGTTTCGGTTCTAAAAATGCAAAAATATAGCAACCTAAATAGGTTAAACTTTGTATATTTAGTTATTTACAGCAGGAGACATTCCTAGTAAAAGCAAAGTTTAATAGTACCAGGCCTCATCAAGCAATGACAGAGGTAAAATCAATAAAACTATAAGTAAAAAATTGAATGAAGTTATGGAAAATAAATTCGGTGCTTTATATTTTTTAAGGTGGTATTTAAGCAAGTTTACTTGATTAAACAAATTTGGCTGAAAAAATTTGTTATTCTTGGACATAAAAAGTCTAAAAAAACACTAGAGTGTTTGTTTATATGGTAGGTTTTATGTATGCGGTGATTTGGCATATGGTTGGCTGCTCATCAAACACATTTTGGCATTAAATACGTTTTATTAGAAGTATCGGGTGGACACGGAAAAATCCATTCAACTTTAAATTATTTACTTATTTCTCTAAAACCTTAAATGCTTTTTATTTCTTTTATTTTTTTAATTAACTTTTGATTACAAATCAATGATTTGCAAAATATTTCGGAAACAAATTGAGGTACGTAAAAAAGTTGTAATTTTTTTTTTTCAAAAATCCATCGGTTTCATATCACTTGATTGCAATTTCATATCACTTGATATAACAATTGAATGGTCAATTACTTCAATTTCACAATTTAAACTTCCTAAGAGAAGCTTAAATGGTGAAATTAAAGTAATTCAACTCGCAAAGAAGTTGGTTAAAATAATGGCGGATAAAAGTAAGGGATAATTGGTCAAAAATTTACTAGGAGAACAAAGATAAACCTGTCTATGATTAATTTAAATATGTTTGACGAGAAAATTTTGCATCCAAATCCTTGTGTGCAAGCCATTTATAGCTGTGATACACAGTCCTCTTGTTTTGTAACTAAGTTGACCTTGACTGTTAATCTCTACATCAAAGAATGCCTCTAAAAAAGACTTTTTCCATTTTTGAAAAAAAACAAATACCGATATCTCTTTTGGCCAGATCTCATGCTTCTCATTATTCTAAAAAAGTTCTACAGTGGTGCAAATATAATAATGTGAAAATTGTTCTTAAAGATGCGAATCCTTCTAATCGTCCTGAAGAGCGCAAGATTGAAGAATTTTGAACAATAGCTACAGAAGTTCTTCGTGAGACAAATGAATTAAAAAAAATAAAAAAAGACTTCTAAAAAAAGTGGATTAATGCCACCAATAAGGTGAAAAAAGAAAAATCTGCAAAATAATGGCTTTAAAATTCAATCTCTTGCTACAACAGCCTATCAAGCCCATTAAAACTAAGCTGAAATATTAATTGATGTAAACACATATAATAATAAAAAATTTAAATAAAAAGGATTTTTGGTTTTAGAGAAATTTCAATTTAAAGTTGACCAGATTTTTCAGTGTCCACCCGATAAGTTAGGCCGTAAGAGTAGCTGTATATAGGACTAAGTTTAGCACCGACATTTTCTCTAGGTTGGTATTACGTTGGAATACTTATAGTATTTTTTTGGTGTCAGCCTACTAAACCGTCATGGTTGGCAGACAAGTATTTTATATCAAAAAAATCTTTTTTTTTTTCAGAAGATGTTTCGAATGTTATAATTTATGCCAGGTATTTTTGGAATCTATTTCGGTAGTTACTCGTAAAATAGAATTAACTTTAGGATGACGATAAGAATATAACGAAAATAGTCGCGTAACAAAACACGTTTAGTCAATTTAATCAACTGTAGACTTCCTACTAATCAACTAAAAGTCAATTTAATCGAGTGAAAATCTGTAAATCTTTTTATCTTGTTATTCGATTTAACTTTCCAATCTTTTATTTTTGTTTGTTCATATAAAACAAAAGCATGTACAACTGTAATTTGATATGTCACGGATAGTGGCTTGCTAAATACCGAATATTCAACTAGACTCTCGGCCGAAGCACCAAATATTTCGTTGCCGATTGTTCGGTGACATTTTTCTATTTTGAGAGTTCCTACCTGCTTCATTGACGTTTATATTGCAGGTATACTAGTAAAAGACGTTAAGTCAAAATAAGCAGTTTTGACTTATGATGTATTTATGTAAAGTTTGCAACTCTTTAAGCTGGCTCAAAGCTCTGGAGCAAAATTAAGTTGTGAAGCTCCATTTCCAATATTTTTTCTATACAACTACATTGTAAATATGTTTGTAAAAACTTTGATTTATTTCAACCATTTAAAGCAGTCCCTAAATAATTAGAGTCTGGGAATAAATTGTCTAGTTGTCGGAGCGGCCGTTCTTATATATTGTTTTGCTCCATTAATATTTTAATGATATAATGTTAAAAAATAAAAAGCGAAAATAAATTACTTTATTATTCTTAGGACAATTTATTTCAATAAAATTAAATTATTAACATATTTTTTTTTTTGTTGTTGTTGTTATCCACCTCCTCAAGGCCGAGAAGGCCACTACAGACGAAGAGGCTACTTAATAGTGGTTATAACCCTCTCTCAACTCTATAACTCTATAACTCCGAAAATTAGCTGATAAAATTCCAAAAACCAACTCAAACAACTTCGAATCTTATATAAATACACCCAACACATCTATGATAGAATCTAATTTAAACTTAAGTGAGATGCGCAATGCTTTCAACTGTCTAAAAAATAATAAATGTGCGGGCATTGATAAAATTAGCGTAAATGTAGTTAAAGCTGTGTTTGATATTATTGAACCATCACTGTTTCACATTTTTAATCTTTCTTTAAAATCCGGTATTGTACCGGAGAAATTAAAAATTGCTAAGATTATACCTATTTTTAAAAATGGCGATGATACAAATATGTCCAATTATAGACCTATTTCTGTCTTACCATGTTTCTCTAAATTGTTAGAACGAATTATGTATGATAGACTTAACAACTATTTAACTGAGAACAATATTCTGTATAATAAACAATTTTGGTTTAAAAAAAATCATTCAACGGACCATGCAGTAGTCGATCTAATAAATTATGTATCCAATGGGTTCAATAATGATTGCTATACATTAGGAGTTTTTATTGATTTGTCAAAAGCATTTGACACTGTTAATCATGATATTCTAATAAAAAAACTAGAAATGTATGGAGTATTAAACAATAACTTACAATGGTTTAAAAGTTACCTTTCAAACAGGAAACAATACATAATATATACAGAAAATGAAGAAAAAAAAACATATCATAACTTGTGGTGTGCCCCAGGGATCAATCTTAGGGCCCTTATTATTCATACTGTTCATTAATGATTTGTATTTAGCATCCAAAATTCTAAACGTTATTTTGTTTGCTGATGACTCAAATCTTTTTTACTCTAACAGAAATATTAAAGATCTGTTTAGAATTTTTAATGAAGAGTTATTAAAAATAAATGAATGGATTACGAATAATAAACTTTCATTAAATATTGGGAAAACTAAATTTATGTTGTTCCACAAACCTAGTAAAGGTGATAACCTTTTTTTAAAACTACCTGATCTCTTTATGAACAAAAAAGTTATTAAAAGAGAGTCAACTATTAACTTTCTAGGAGTGATATTAGATGTGATATTAGATATTAGATAAAAATATATCATGGAAATATCATATTAGATCTATTGAAAATAAAATCTCCAAAAATATTTCA